AGGAGATCCAAATGGAAAGAATCTTTTAAACATTATTTCTAAATCTTGTAAACTCATTTTACCATTGGGATATTTTGCATTAAATTCTGATGACCATTCCTGTAAATCTTTAATTGCAAAATGTGGAAATTTTTTCGAATCGTCTACATCGAAATTTTTTAGGGAGCTTGATCTGTTTCCCATGGGTTATTGTAACAATAAAATTGTTATGAATAATCAAAATAAAATACGTTTTGTTATTTACAGTAAACTACATCTTGTTACTTAAGTTAAATACATTTATTTTGTAAAGTAAACTACATTTAAAAATTAAAATATTTTGTAATTTAAAAATATAATATTATAATATTTAATTAAGAATAAAAAAATAAGATGAAAAAAAAGCAACAGTAAAAACATGGAGACGTTTTAAGAGCCAAAAAGCTTAACTCGAAAATGCAAGATAAAGAAGCATACAAAATATACCAACCCTAAATTTTAACTGGAGTTTATAGCGCGCCTAGTGCTGCATGACATATAGAAAGCCTGAAGGCGGTTTTGTCAAGATTTGAAAGAATGACAAGAAACAGCTGCAATTTAACATCTAAAGTGTATAATGAAATTTTAAAAAACCAAACATTAGATCAAATAGAAAAGAGTATACAAAGTTCATTCCGGAGACAACAAACAGTTTTTGTCTTACAGAAAATTAAAGAAAGAATCTACAAAAAGAACTAAGACGTTTAAAAAACTGGTTGAAATTATTACAACAAAGGAAGAAGAACATATTCTAAGAATAAACGATAAGATATTTAACACTATCTAAGCATTAAAAGAAAGAAACGTTGAGGATGGTGAACGAGTTGGATAATACTAGGAGACTTAACAAAATACGATGTGCTGGATTGTATTAACAGACATATAAATGAGTTTACAAAAACATTAACTCTTAAAGTCTAGCTAATACAGTTTGTGTAAAAAAAACTGAACATAAGTTGTACCGATATTAATTGATCAATAAAATTATCTAATTCAATAAGTTGATTTAAAAATTATTTAGAGAGCTAAGTTTTTTAATATTTTTTTAAATATCGTAAAAAGTTTGATTTTTTGTTTTTATAAAAAGTGTTTCAAAAATATGACTAAATTTAAAAACTTAATACCGTGTGTATAGATCCGAAGCTTCATAGAATTTTATAGCTCTTTTTTTGAAACTTTACGCTAGTTTTTGACATGTTTCTACTATTATTAAAATCCATACAGCTTGTTCAGCAGCTTTTAATTCTTCCTTAGTTTTTATAATTTATTTTGATAATTTTTGTTTTAAATGGCACAAAGTATTTAAATTTGGTTTAAATCTGGAGGTTGTGGTGGCCAAGAAAGCAGTTTGATTTTTTAATAAAGTAATTTTTGACAAGTCTTGATGTATATTTCGGATCATTATCTTGTTGAAAAGTAAATGTTTCTATTCCCATTTGTTCGACTAACAAATGTAGACTTTTAGCGAAAATATTCACATATGCTACAAAATTCGTAATACCATCTATAAAAACTAGTTTCACTACTCCATAGTATGAGAAATATACTCACACCATTACAGAGCCTTCCTTAGTATATAACTGTACCAAAATATTTTTTGGAGAAAGGCCTGTACACGGCTTTCTCCAAGTAAAAACTCTATTATCATTTCCAATAAGATTGAATTTACTTTCGCCGGAATAAATTATGGTTTTTATAGTTTCATGAGACATGTATATAATTTTTTCAAAATTTCTTTCCTTGCTAAAATATATTTTTTTGATAGGATAGGCTTTTTTGTTGCCAGGTATGCATCAAAACCATAAAAATTGGGTGTTCTTTTTATAGTTGAATGAGATATCACTATTATGATTCTTTCTAAAAACTTAGCTGACAACATTCCAAAGAAGTTTTAGGTTTATTTTAAAGCAATAATAGTATTATACCATCCTTTAAAAGAGTTTTTGGCCTTCCATTTTCTTTTAAATACACAAGTTGCCCAATTTTTTGTACTGAGAAGGGTTTTTAATACAATACTCTTAGATACACCAATTTGTTCGGCGATTTTGGCCTGTATCATTTTTTGATCATAAGGACAAACAATTTTCAACTTGAGCTCAGGCGCAAGTTGAATAGGGATTAAAAAAAAATGTAAAATAAATAAGATTTTGAGGGAAAATTTACAGATCATTTTTAAATTCCTTTAAGAAAAATATATTTTTTCAAATCCCTTTTTTATAAAAAAACGGAAAATTAAGCTTTTTACAACAGTTAAGAAAAATCTAGAAGTAAAATTTTTAGATAAGCACATAAATCAAATGATTATATTGATCAATTTATACTAGTAAATTGATATTCCGTTTTTTTAAAACAAGCTGAATATTTAGCTTAAATTTTTTAGAAGACACAAAGTGTTTAAAAAAATTTGACCAATATAAATAAAATTTCTATAAAATAGAAAGAAATTTTAATAAGAAAATAGAACTTGACAAAAATAGATTAAAGATAGAATAGAAACACGAAAAGATAAGGAAACATCGAATGGAGAAAAGAAAATAATATACTGCACTAAGAAAATCGGGTGTTTTAGAGTTTCTAGTGAACTACCAGACAAAATTGCACTCTATAAAAAAATATTGACAAACCACAAAAAGAGTGTTTGGGACAGAAAAAGGAAACACAAGATATAAACAAACAGAGGAAAGTTTTTTAAGGACATAGATTAAGAAATTTCAAAAATTAATGATGAATCGTAAATCTACCAACCGAATGAGGGATTCACCAAAATATGGAACAAGATATGGAAAAATGAATAACAGAAGTACAAGGAAATCTTGTCATATATTGTCTTTGTCCTTAAACACGAGCAAGGGCCTAGAATTAAAATGTATCCCCTAGCTTGGAGAATGTAAAGAAATAATTAAATACCTACTAAATTGAAAGGTCGCTGGTCCAGATAATACCTGATACTTTTTTTAAAAAAACGATAACCACATTTCATAAACCTTTCTATATATGTGTCAAAAAAATTACTAATAACCTAACCCTACAGCTAGCGCAAAAATGGACAATTACAGGAAACATATTCCTTATACCAAAAGAAAATTGTGCACCAGGCGAAGATTTTAGACTTATTACATGCCTGTCAAATATTAATTATTTTATAACAAAATGTGTAGCTATTATAAGGCTTGGGTCAAAAATCACATTGTAATTTTTACCCCTAAAATAAAAAATAAATAAAAATTTTTAATCTAATTTCTAACTAAAACTAAAAACTATTTTTTTTAAAATTCAACACCATAATATTCATGATAAATTTTTAAAATGTCTTTCATTTTTTTATCAGTTTCTAAAATAATATCTGTATCGACATGTAAAGATTCTAAAATCTTATTTTCGGTGATGCTTTGTTCAATAATTAATTCTTTGACGAAAAATAAAAAGAAAACTATTTGTTCTAACCAAATTATTTAAAACGTCGGTGGAACCCTTCAATACTATTCATAGTTCTTGGGACTTTATTAATTGCCCTACTAAAACATTCCAAAATTCTATGCTCTTATTACTATCATCAAAATTTTAATATTTAGTTTGAAATTGAAATTTACTTCAAACATTTATTATTTAAGTTTCAAAATATTTTATTATTAATTAATTTTTTAGAGTAAAGGCATGAATTTTAAGAATAATAACAAAATAAAATTACACTAAAAAAATATTAAAGCAAAAATTTACAACAAAAGCTTAATAGGACTTTATTTAAAAAATGGTTATGTCCCGCAAGGACATCTCAATCATAAATATAGAATGTTGGGAACAATTCAAGGCAAGCAAATTTTGAAGATATTTCCCTCTGCCGATCCTGCGGAGAAATTGTTAAAAAAAATATATTTATTCGAGTATATATATAAGTTTTCTTGTTTTTATTCATTACAGGCCATCTTTGAGACTTCAAACTCCGAGTCCATTATCTTAAAGTTTTTCTTCTCAGTACCTACTTTTATTTCAGGTAGGCGTCAAGGCTTTGGCGACTAGTTATGATTATGGTTTCCGATGTCATCTTGAGGACTCTTGTTTGTAAATATGCCTCGGTTTGTAACTCTAATCCTAGGTCGTTTGCATATATATAGGCAACGTACAGAGAAGTTATAATAATTTTTATTAAGATATTGTACGAGATCTATTACTTTTATTAAGTGGTGAAAAATACACTCACATTCGATTTTTAAAGAAGCAGAAAACACTGCTGTATACATTTTAAGATAAATTATAAGCCATTTTAAGTATTTAAATTACATGCCGTGGCAGAGTTTCAATTCAATTTAGAGCCAACTTCTACTTTAAAACTGTTATAAATTTACAAAAAATATTTACTTAAAGAAAAAGTTAAATACTGCGCACAATTGCTCAGCTCTAAAAATTGCAGTCAACACCGGCCTTACATATTTTTCTGATAAAGTTTCTTCAACTTTCCTTTCATCATCCAAAATTTCAGTAGGTTCACAACTTTCGACTATATTTTGTTCATAACCTTCGACTATCTTCTGTTCACAACTTTTGACTATCCTCTGTTCACAACCTTCTGTTGTCCTCTCACTATCCCAATCCATCAATTTAAAATCCAATGTTAAAAGTGAAATAAGACCATTAGTTATCTCAGATCTTCCTACACGCGAATCTACTATCATGCGATTTAAACTATAGACCGATAACAAATATAAAACAAATACCTTCATCTTTAGAAAAGGGGTTTTTTATTTATATTTATAATTTAATGTTAATTTTTTAATCAAAGTTTATAAAGTAATTAAATATAGGAAAATAACTTAAATATCAAACAATAGTGTAAATTTTACGTATAACGACTAAACAATATTTTTATAAAATATTTTTCACAAAATTAAATACTGATATTTAAATAAATCTTAATGTAAATTATTAGATTAATCTTAGAATGTGTACATTAAAATCTAATAAATGTTAATTATTAATAAATTATTTTGATGAATAAAAAATTAAAAAATAAAGAGAAAATAAAATCACAAAAATGTTAAGTGTAAAATATTAAAATACAGGTAATTTTAATACATTCAATTAAAGTATACAATTAACTTATTTTTCTAAAGTTTATCTATATATTAAAATAAAAAAGCATAAATACAACTTTTTACAAATATCATAAATTTATGAAAAATTGGAAGATTAAAGTAAAATGTTAGAATTTATACTTAATAGACACATACATATTTTTAATAAAAATAAAAATGATTATTTATATGTTAGGATTAAACATAAATTAAAATTTAATATGAATATATGCATAATAAT